GTGACGCGTTTTAAACCCGTAATGGCCTAGGCCCGGAACGGACAATATTACTAGCGGACTGGGCTGTTACACTTAAGAAGTAAACAAACGCTCGAAGCCAGTTTATATCATTTGCTTACCAAGGAACAGCTTAATACAGCTATCTACATGGAAGATAGACTAAATGTGCTCTTAACACATCAGACAATTATGATTTAATACTGACCAGTTGACAACCCATTAAAGCTAAAGGAAGCTGCAAACTGTAATTACCCATTTAGTCATCAGACAATTATGATTTAATACTGACCTGTTGACAACCCATTAAAGCTAAAGGAAGCTGCAAACTGTAATTACCCATTTAGTCATCAGACAATTATGATTTAATACTGACCAGTTGACAACCCATTAAAGCTAAAGGAAGCTGCAAACTGTAATTACCCATTTAGTCCACACACATTTTATCTGCTCCTGCCTTAGCACCACCAACTCATTCCCCAAAACCGGGAAAAAAAAGGGAACGAATGATAATGCTCGATATAATACAGATAACTACATAGTCATCTGACTAAGAAGGCATTGATTGAACGAATCTAATTTGTACCAAGGGGTATTCTTGCTCTTACATTTATTCAGCTGTTTAAGGGTTCAGCTCAGCTGGAAACACTGTGCCATCACACAAATAAGCTTTAAAGAGTTTTCAGGATTAACAGGCAGTAGTAATGTCATAAAACCCCAACAAAGTACACACTACTTACCAGCATCAGGCAATATTTCTAACCACGATCATAAATTTTCATTCACATCTCCAGTCCAAATAAGAAAAATGAAAGAAGAGACAGGTCAATCTTTATATTCAGATGCAGACAATGTACAGAAACTTCAGGTAGTCATCTACCTCAATTGGTTAAACCAACCTAAACGTCATAGTGATAGTATCATTTCTGATGTACGAGCAGCACTTTTAGCATGCATTTTACAGAATGACAGGATTAACAACTTGCACCAAACATTATAACAAGACTAGTTATTCTTGAAAAAAAAACAATTACAGAAGCACTGACCCTAAAGCAGCAAAAGGAGAAAAAAAGACTAACAGTTGGCTCAGAATCACATCACGGAAACTGATGAATATTATCTGAACCTTCTCCCTAAGCAGCTCGTACAGACATAACTGCGGCTATCTGAACCTCTCCCTAAGCATCACCATGCCAACATACCTGCAACACAACACCAAATTATTGAACTCTCCAGCAGACTATACATTAGGACAAGTTATCAAGTCAGACTAACAGAACACCTACCGTCCAAGCATGAGAAGAGTAGCCTGGGGGTTGGTCCCTGGGGACACACTGAAAACTGAACCATCAACAACTCTGAGGCCATCAATGCCAAGCACTCTCAAATTCTGATCAACCACCTTCCCCACAACACAGCCACCATGATAGTGCCAAATGGTACTGACTGTTCGATGGCAAAACTCCCTCATAAGCTCATCATTCGACTCATCAACAGGCAAAGCAGGACCAACATATCTAAAATCCCTACCACCAAACCACTGATCAAACTTGAAAATATCCATTGTTCTGGTTCTCAAAACATTCGCAATTTTCCTGCTTCCATTGACACACCTCTCTATATCTCCGGGGCTACTGAAGTAATTGAATCGAACAATGGGGTTAGCCCTAACATCTGTCGATGCCAACCTAAGTGAACCCGAAGAAACTGGTCCAACAATCTTCTCCATGAGTGTGGCAACAGTGAGATACACCGGAGAAGAAGAACTCCTGCTGAAAACAGAGTTGGCAGGGGAAGCAAATGGAATGACATTAGAGGCAGCCTCCAAATAAGCCCCTGCATCAGTAATCCCCACAACCTGAATCAAAGAATGCTCCAGCGGCATCGGTGGCACAATTGAGATACCATTTCTTGGATTATCAAACAAAAACTGCCCCACATAAGGTAAATGGTGAGCAACAGGAATACCCCATGTGGAGAGATAAGGCCTAGGACCAACACCACTCAAGAGAAGCAACTGTGGGCTACCAAGAGCACCTGCTGACAGTAAAACCTCACCCTTTCCCCTCACCATGCTATGGTGATATCGCCCAGCTTGATCACGAAAAATCACGCCAATCGCAGTCATCTTAGAGGGAGAATAAGGTGCTGACTGAGCTAGAAGAACCCTCTCTACATTAGCATACACAGCCACCTGAATATTGGAAGGATTTGCATAGTTAAGAAGATCAGCAGCACTATGCCTACGTCCAGAACTATCAAAAGTGGAGCCACCAATCTTAGTACCAAGAACATGATCTAAGCTAAACCCATTAAAGGGATCAATACCAGCTTCCACTAACCCATCCCTCACAGCTGATTGCCAATTCTTGAGTTCAGGCCTAAACACAATAGACCTCTCAACCCATTCATAAGATTGATTAACAACATGTAAATCCCATTTAATCCCTGACCTAACATAAAAATCTTGATCAGCTCTACTGTAAAAACCAGCATTAATTGCACTACTACCTCCAAGAATACGACCTCTGGCATTTGGAACTCCGTCTTCAGAGGTGAAGGTTTGAGCAGGGGACTCAAATTCATCAACGTCAGTGAGTACTGTGAGAAATCCTTCTTGGGTCATCAAATTAGGCTTTCCATATGGAACACCGCCTCTTTCAAGAAGTAAAACTTTGTACTTCTCTGACAGTGTAGCCGCCAGTGGACAGCCGGCGGTGCCACCTCCCACCACGATGTAGTCATAGTAGTTTTCCGATGGGAATCCCGTTGCATTAAACACAAACCGCATGTAATTTGGACCTATAAACGAAAAAAATAACAAATTTTCCCAAGAAATCGTCAAAATTTTAAGTGAGAATCTGTAAACAAATAGAAATATTGAAAAGGATCAAGACATACTCTCGTTAGAAGAATCAGAATGTGTTGTGGGCAGCGAAATTAACGTCATGACGGTGAAAAAGATGAAGTATGACCTGTAAAGAGTACAAGATTTTGCCATTCTTACTAATCAGAAAATGACAGTTGTTTTGGGTCGCCGGAAGGATAGAAGATAGGTTGTTGAAGAGACGAACGAGGGCGGTGGGGGTGGTTTCTGAAATTGGCTGAGAGAGAGGGGTGGAGGAATGGTGGTTAGTAGAGAGAAGAGCAGTGTCTTTTTGGTGGGAAATATAGTTGAATTACATGTGTCAACAGGGGAAGAGCGTTGGCAGTTATACTATTCTTTTGCGCCAATACCCACCTTCTGTGCGCAGTTAGAGTGTAGAGTATGCAATAAAAATGGGGTTGGGATCCGCATTTTTATATACTCCTACTTATTATTACTCCACTATTATTCTGACTACATTCATGTTTAGCATCTCTTTTTATTATTTTTTGCTTTTAATATAATCTTATAATAGTGACACGTGAACTACTTTGTATTTTGATTTTTCTATCGGACATTTCTTACCTCCCATCAATATATATTGAGTAATTTGACGTAGAATACCCAAGTTTTTGTTGACTCTGACCTTCCATACGTCCTAAAATGTCATTCATTTTTTACATTCCACACTATCCTTTTATCTCCACCAGTCTTCCTGATCTTTGCATTAAAATTTTGTGTGAATTAAAGTTCACTATTAAGACTCGTCTGCCTTGGGGTGTCAAATGGGCTAAATCAATAATTGGACGGGTCAAATGCGTACACAAAAATTATTTGGGTTGAGGATTAGTTGAGTCAAGATGACTTAAAATTTAGGTCATAACTCAATTCACCCAATTCTTACCAAGCTTTAATTAATATGTGTTATTTTTCTTATGAATTGTATAATTACTAAATAAGATTTTTTTTCTTTTGTTATAGCCATATATAACATATCACACAGAAAAAATATATCTAAAGATATTTTGGTAAAGTTACTCATGGATCAATTTAGGCTAAAAATTAGCCAAACTTTAAATAGGTTGGGACAAAATGAGTTGAGTTAAATAAATAGGCGGGTCAATAACCAGCCCAGTCTTGACCGGGTCAATAACCAGCCCAGCCTTGAGCGGGTTGGACGGATCATTTGGGCTTGGGCCAAATTTGACAGCCCTACATCTGGCCATGAATCAATGTTTTTATGTTTGTAAATATTAGATACAAACAGTGGTGAAACCACATGGTCATTAGGGTGGTCAATTGACCACCCTTCATCGAAAATTGCACTGTGTACGTAGGTAAAATATTATGTTTTAGAGGTATATAACACATATTGAACACCCTTTATCGAATTTTTTTTACTTCTTTTAAATTTGAACACCCTTGGAGAAATTCCTAGCTTCGCCAGTGGATACAAATATTTTGATGAGAAGTCTTGAGTTTCAAGTGAAATATTAATTGGTTTTCAAGTGAATAATGAAATATTGCGTTTGAACATAATATTTCAATTTTCATATAATTTTCTTGTAGTTTATTCATATCCAAATACAAATTTAATTTCGTAAAAAATTTCAACTTCAAATATTTTCCAGAACCTACTTAGTAAGTAATACTATATTTATCATGAGATAGCATAAACAGTTGTTTGTTGCAATATACTAGCAAAACATATTAGTACTTCCCAAGAACTTGATCCAAGCCCAAAACAATAATTCAACTGGTAAATCTTACTAAGTGCAAATACTTATAATCTAAATCTTGGTTCATTACATTACTTAAGCTTCTCAATCATAAAAGAGGGAAAAGCCGAGAATAAGCTCAAATAGCCGCTCACCCAACCGCTTAAACTAAAAAAAAACTGGTGGAGGTATAATATATGCATAATTTGTGTATTATATATGTATAATTGTGTATAATCATTATATAATTTATATATATAACTATAAAAAATAAATAATGAATATGACAGGCTATTTGTCTAAAGGTATAGATGGGCTGGACTTTGTTTGCGGGCCTAAAAGAAAGGTAGAGTACCTAGCCCGGCCCAAATTGGATGAGAGATATTACGGGTGTCTTCTTCCCGAAGAAACACGGAGAACTGGAGCTAATTTCAATAGAAAGTCCAGAAATAGTGTCCAAAAGTCCAAAAGTTTCCCCACATTCCCAGTTCCGACTAAGCGGCGACTCAGGTAAGTCGTAAACCTTGTAATCTCCAGCACTTGCGCCTTTCAACTTCACTTCTATTTTGTCGCTTCATATCCGTTATACCTAAATTTGGCGTGTTATTCTGCACGATCATATATAAAAACAATAGAAGAAAGTTTATTTTTTTCATTTGGTTTCTATATGATGTTGTTTTATCAATGGTTCCAAATTAACTTCTATTATAAGCTCTCAATATTCTTCTCGGTGTCATCTATGCTGTTGAGTATAGGCGATATTCTATAAGGTAGTGGCTTCTATTATGTAGTAACTTTAGGAGATGATCTAGTCTATGGATCGACACTTTTGAAATTATGATTAGGTTAAGTCAATTCTTCCATATAGTAAAAGAGAACACACAATGCTCATGCAATGTTGGGAACTGTGTTTTAATAGGTGTGGGTGTAAGGTGATGTGTTTTGCATATGCCTAGCGAGGCGCAAGCCCCATAGATATTTAATTTTTAATATTTTATAAAATAATATAATTACAATAAATATTTATAAACTGATAAAATTGCATAAAAAATAAAGAAAACTAAATATGTGA